TCGGGTGCCGAATTTTTAAATCTCCGGAACAATCATAAATGCAATTGCTTGGGTTGATATCTCTGTGGAGATTCATCTCTCTTTTTTGACGACGTTTGATGTAATATGGGTTTCTTCGTCTTTCAATATTTTCTTTGCTCTCCGTCTGTTTTTGAACCGAACTAATAAGCCAAATTTTAAGTGAAATATATTTTTGCAAGAACTTAAATATGTCACGTACGATGCACTCGTTATAAAGTGTGTTCGCGAGCGTCAAACCTTCAAACCAGACATAAATATCGTAGTTCTCTTTGTTTCCGGAGAGCATACCGTCTCTGTAATCATGCGTTTCACAAATCTCCACTAGTTCCGAAAATGTCACTGATTTCTTGATACCATTGGGTTTTAAGACTCTACATCCGTGAGGGGGCTGAGACGTGAATTCGACCGCGTATTCCTAAATACAAAAGATAAATGTAATGGTGAGTTTTAGAATAAAACCATTTAAACAAATTAATTATGCCTATTGCAGAAATCTAAATCCAGTAGATATCTACTTCCTGTGCTACCCTGTTAGTACCAAATGATTCAATACAAAGACGTTTTGCCAATGATCTGGCATGGTAATGATATTTTATATTTTTTTCGTTCTGTAAAAAGTTCAAAGTGAATAGGATCCAAGATCTTTTCGTATCAAAAAATTTATCCGCAATAAAATAGTTACAGCTTTTTCGGAGGTTCCAAAAGTAATCCTGGACACGTCGCAAGAGATAGTATATCCTTTAGGCAGACTTAAACCTTCAACTGGGAGAAAGTATAATGCAGATTTTGGCCTTTTGACCATATTTCCTCCCTGCTTCGGTTGGAACATTGCGTTATAAACAGAGAATAATGTAAACAACTGTGAAGTGACCTTCCACGTGACCTATGTAAAATTATAATAATTGCACGTGATATAATGTCATCATCCCTCCAACAATAAAGAATTTCTTTTCATCAACTTGTGTGGAATGATGAAGCTCGATATATTCCTTTGCCCGTACACTTAACATGGTAATGTAATTTGCGTGTATGAATGATTTCAGTAAAAAAAGTTTTGTATTTTTGTATTTACCGTATATATATTTATTAGGAAAAAAATCATGAAATATATAGTATTAACTGTACAAATGGTCATGTTTTTCTAACCAAGGTTCGAAAATCTGACCTTTACTAAGGGTTATCGTTTGCGGAAGGAAATCGCTAATATTAAACCTTAGCAATTGTCTTTTTAATCCTTTATAGCAATGTTTGGTCTATTTAATAGATACCACCATCTCCATAATCTGATACTAAATTCTGCTAGAAGTAATCTAAACATCATCAAGCATTTATCCTTGAGATATCCCAAAGTTCGCCCAAAATTAGGAGTACCCGC